TATGACATGATATTGATCTTTATCTTCATGCACTTCCAGATATAATTTCTGATAAAAATGATCTTTGGGAAAAGTTGAAGAAGATTTGAAATAATATCAAAACAGATTATTATTTTGATCTGATTAATATGATGTCAGAGAGAATTAGAAATATGATCAAAGCAAGAGGAAAGTATATAAAGTAATAGTGTAATAATTTTATATTTTTTTTATTTAATTATATTTATTTTGAATAAAATTTTATTTAAAAAATGATTTCTATTTAATAAATAACAAAAAAAACATATCATTATTTTTGCAAATTAACAATTATTATCTATAGTTAGATATAATAATATCTAGTCATTTTTTATAAATAACTTAAGTTGTATTTGCTAATACGTATTTTATTATTTGCATATTTGTCATTACTTTTGTAATTGTAAATTTTGTGATTTAAGATTAATGACTTAAGTAGTACAATACTTATGTGAGTCATTATATTATTCAAGATAATAGAATTAGAAGAGAAGTAAAAAATAAATTAAAAATATTATGCAATTAATCTAATAAAATTACTTTAACTAATAAATAAAAATTTAAACTTTATCAATATGTCTGTAATAATAAAGTAGTTCTTGAAGCATATGTCAATTGAATTAAAGTTAAATGGAATATTATCATTTATAAATCTATAGTTTCTCAAATTTTAAAAGACAGTTATAAATATTTAAATGAGGATATTGCTAACTCTGATTTAAAATAGCATAAATCAATTAAATTTCCTAAACTTGAATATATACTTATAGAGTTTATACTGACTTATCAACATCATACCATTTTGAGTGATATGATTATTATAGCAAAAGCTAAATTATTTGCTAAAAAATTACAAATTCCTGAAAGTAAATTGCAATTTTCTTCTGGTTAACTTCAGAAATTTAAAGAATAAAACAGAATACAATTACAAAAACTTTATGATGAAGTAAGTTCAAGTAATCAGAATACCATTATTGAAAATCTTCTATCATTACATGAAAAACTATCAAGATTTTCTTTAGATAGGATTTATAATATGAATGAAACTGATCTGTTTTATCAATTGGAATCTGATAGATTACTGGTGATAACACATCTCTTGGAAAGAAAAAAAAATAAAAAATATCTATTTATAACTCTATGTGCAAATGCTGATGGCTAACATAAGCTAAATTCTTTGATAATCAGTAAATATGCAAAATCAAGATACTTTAAGAACATAGATTTCAACAGTTTAAGAGTGACTTATCATAATAATAACAGTGCTTGGATATTAATAATCTTATTTCAAGAATAGTTAAGTAATTTTGATATTGAAATTTCTAAATTATATAGAGATCGATCTGTCTTACTTATTTTAAATAGTTATCTAAGTCATATTACTAAAGGAATAAGTCTCTCAAACATTAAAATATATTTCCTACCACCAAATACAATGATAAAAATCTAATTGATAGATACTAGTATTATTATATCATTTAAAAAACATTATTATTAATATCATATTCAATGAATATTAGAATAAATTGAGAGTGAAAAGAATACCAAAAATTTAAAAATGAGTACTTTATTAATAATACAATATATTATTCAAGCTTGGAATGATATTATATTTGATATTATTTCTAATTGCTGGAAAGCTATCAAGATTCTTTCTGATAATATTTCTTGTAGAGATGAAGCTCAGGCATTAGATAATGAATTACTTACTGAATTATCCAAATCTATCATGAAATTGAGTTTTCCTGAGATAATGATAACAAATAAGTATTTGTCTTTTTCACAAAAAGATATTATTTTTGAACTTTCTGAAAGTGATGATATTATTTCTTTATTTAGTGAAGAACATGATGATGAGACTGATAATAATAATAATGAAATCTCAATAGTGAATGTCAATAAAATATTAAAAAGTTTAGAAAATATAAAGACATTTCTAATTCAACAAGAGAGAATCAGTAGTTATTTAAAAGCTACTAATAATTTGGAGAAATTCATTCATGAAAAACAGATAAATTTAATAAAACAAAGCAGTATTACACAATTCTTAGTTAACAATTAGTATTAGAAATTTGATAGTCAAATTTTTTAGTAACTTTAGACAAAATTATATATAATAAAGAAAAATCTGTTTAATTAAAAAAATCTCTTCTAATAAGAAAATCTCTATAAATGCAAAATCTTTATAAATATAACATAGCTCCTAGTCCCAAGGTGTTGCATTTATGGAGGTTTTACTAAATAAAAATTAAAAATTATAAATAAAATAAAAGTTTATATAAAATATTTTAGTTATAAAATATATATTAGATAATTTAACTTTAATATAATATGAAATTTTAATTTTTATTATATTTATTAATAAAATTAATCTTCTAATTTCATAATTATTAGAATTATTATTTGAAAGATAAAAAATAAAAATATTATATATATTTTATTTTTAATATTTAAAATAAAAAAATAATTAATTTAAATTTGTATATTTAAAAATTTTTAATATTTATTTTTTTTAAATCTATGATAAAAAGTATTTAAAAACTTTAAAATAATTTTAATAAGTTATTTTATATATTATTCTTAAGCAAATTTATTTATTAGATTATAAGAAATTTTTAGTTATATAATAAAAAATGGCTATATTTTTTATAGCAATTTTACAAAACTTTTATATATAAATTGATATAAAAATTTTTTTAAATAATTTTTTATATAAAAAATTAAAGTTAAATAAATAATAATATTAATATTAGTTATGATAGTCTTAAGTAAATTATTAAAGAATATATTCATAATTTTTATATCATTGAATAATCTTTCATTAAATCATAATAAAAATTAACTTTTTTCATTATTGACTATACTTTTAATTAATTTATAATTTATAGTATATAATAAAAGTTATTATAATAATATAATGAGCTTGTAAAATATACTAATATTAGCAAATATCAATTTAATTCTAATATTATTAATCATATAATTCAAAATATTATATATTAAGAAATTAAATAATTTCTTAAAAATAATTAAAATAATTAAAATTATAAATTTTCAGAATAAATTTGCGATTTTTTTATTATTATAATATTATAGGATAGTATAGATTTAGAAATAATTAAAATGATCTAAAATACAAAAAAGAGCTTTCCTAAGAAATTCGATTTTTAAAAATTCGTTATTTGTTTTTGAAATTCGTGCTCACGTATTTTATTGGTCACAAAAAATCGTCGCGATTGATTGGCCATTTAAAAAAAATTTACAGCCTTTTGATGTTTGTATTAGATAATACATCTATAAATGCACTCCCTTGGGACCAGTCACGAACATGCATTTAGGGAGGGTGTGCGCTTATAGAAAATAAATCAATTAAAGATCTTATAAGCTTGGGACTGAATCGTATCATGCATTTAAAGAGGGTGTGCATTTTATAGAGTACATTTAGGGAGGGTTTATCGTTACAAACAAAGATAACAGGTTATTACAATTTAATTCATCCATAACTATAATTATAAAGTTCATATTTAAATAAGAATAAAATTTTTTATTAATATAATTCTTGAAAGATATGAATCTGTTTTGTTTTATTACTATCTTTTCTAAAGTATCTGTTTTTTTGTGATGATTAGAAAACGTAACACATATGTATTCATCTGTAGGCATATTGTCGAGTACAATACAATACATTGTTCATTGTCGTTATCTTACAAATTTTCTTTATTCGGAACAAACAGGATTCTTATAAAATTTGTAAATCTGAATTTATTTCGGTTCCAAACCCTAGCGTTAGTGTTTACCCTCGAGTTTTAAAGAGATGAAAAGATTTATAAATTTCCGATATTACTGGTTGATTCGGGAATCACCTGACCGTCATTCTTTTATGGTCAGGGTACTAGTGTATCACACGTATTTTTCTACATGCAGGTTCGATCATAAAATACAACCTCCTTTTGTGTGTCCATCTGCTAACTCACTATTAGGAAATTGTAAAGGCATTAGGACTAATCAATGTTCATTAGTTCCATCTTCATAATGAATAAAAAAGTGGGCACATTAAGGTTTCCATTCATGGATGTCCAAAAGTATGCAGTATGCACCATGAAATTTTCACACGAATAAAAAGCCCACATATTTAATTTGTGCTGGATCAGTTTAACTGCATTTTTTATATAGATTTAATATTGTATGTATGTATGTTCATGCAACCGCATTGTGATTTATTGCTTCAAAAAACCTATAAAGTATATACATTTGACACAGATTGATTTTTTCGGCTATCTAATATGCGATGTTATTAAAGCACATTCCTGTCTCGACGATTAAATAAACTTGTTGCATCCAGTTCCCGGCACGAAAAAAAAAATGTTTCATATTTTCAAAATACGCTTATGTGTTTAATATGCAAAGAAAGTAATAAACAAATGTTTAGATAATCGCATACGAATATGCGTAAACTGGAAATTTAATTAAACAAACCAATTCGAGCGTGCGAAATTACACGACGAGACATTCCTAAAATAAATAGATGATGTAACTTTGACGTAATTATGTAAAACGCGATTTGCACGTTATTTTTACTTTGTAAAAAAATTGTCACAGTTGTACACTGCAAGGGATTTTTTATTTTTATCTGTTATTGTTTTTGTTGGCATGTTAACAAAAGAATGCACTTCATAATTTTTCATGCACAGGAAAACAGGAACAAAATCGCAAACGGTTAGGCTCGATTCTTTAAAACAAGCATTTCAAACGAGGGCTTTTACTTCTAAAGGAAACGCTTTAGACAAAAATGCTATATATTGGTTCAATTTTGTTCGTAAATTGTTTAACAAACCTTAAAAATACAATTTTTTTAATTTATTCCATCATTTTCATTTTCATTTTCATTTTTAATTTTCCTTTCACACTAACACTAATCTATAAATACAAAAATATTCATGAATCCATTTCATTGGCTATTTAAGAAACGTAAAAGTCGAAAAATGGGATCGAAGTCATCGCGCTCATTTTTCTCAAAATCTAGATCATCAAAAACCTCGACGAAAGCTAGTTTAACGAGAACTGATAGCGAGATCATGCCTGATTTAGATGGAATCCCAAGACCACCTAACAATGCGCTAGAATTCAAATATATCGGAGGTAGAAGATTTTACGATGAAAAAGTTTCGTCATATGTGGTAAATATTCTTGTGAAATATTTCAAATGTTAAGTAGCCGTATTCTTAATATCTTGTATTTTAACATTAGTTGCCTACAGATATTGATGAAGTAGATCGGATACAACAACAACACTTTGCTCTTAAACACATATGTCATGGTAATCATATAGCGCCAATTGATAAACTAATAAGGCCAGGAAGCAAGATTTTGGTAAGCCAACATACATTATTCATCGTTGTTTTTCCATTTGCATAATTTAAACAATCTTAATCTAAACGTCAATCTAATTAATAGGACGTTGGTTGTGGACCTGGTCAATGGTCGCTTGAAGTTGCGCAAGAATTTCCAGAAGCACAAGTCTACGGTATTGACATTAACTCGAATTTCCCAAGTGAAATCAAACCAATCAATTGCGAATTTGTCCTTGGCGATGTTGAAAATCCTTTACCCTGGGAAGATAATTATTTCGACTATGTATTTATGCGGTACATGTTTGGGGCTATCAAAGTTAAAAGTTGGCCGCCTTTACTGCAAGAGATTAACCGCGTTTTAAAGCCTGGAGGAATTATTGAGAATCATGAAGTAGATGGAATCGGTATGTAAGCATTTGTTTAGATTCTACGTTTGAATTGAATAATATTTAATTTTATATTTTTGATTAGCACGTAATGCTGGACCAAAGTTACTACACATAATGCATAATGGTAAGTTAATCTTTTGTCATACTATACGACAATGACTTCAATAATTTATGGTTTTTTTTTTTTTTAGTACGAAATGAAATGAGTGAACGAGATTTAGACATAAGCCTTGCAACTCGTTTACCCGACTTAATATTCGAATCCGGATTCAAAAATGTACATAATACCTGCGTCTCAGTAGCAACGGGAAGGTTAATTATCAGAATTCAACATATGGTTTCTTGTATTTTATAAACTAAATTACTTTTTTTATAATCATTTATAGATGGGGAAATAAAATCGGTGAAATTTGGGCCGCAAATATATTAGAGTTATATCAGAGCATGCGCCCTTGGCTGGCTGCTAAAGCCGGATATACCGATCAAGAATTCGACACAGTTATGGATTTTATATGTAATAAGGAGATTGAAAAGCATCAAACTTATTATAACCATCATGTTGTTTGGGCTCAAAAGTAAACGTGTTTTGTTTATCTTTTCTATCCCTTTGGAGCCACGGCTTTATGAATTTCATTTGCGTCAAAATATGAGCATCTTTTAGTTTTATGTAAAATATGAATAAGAATCTTCTTAAGATTTACCTTTAACTAACAACTTAAAGATATCCTCTGAATAAATTTTGCGAGTTTTACCACTCAGATTATTAGCATAATCTACTGCCTCTTGTAGAAGCAGTGCATTACGGTATTTATTGAGGAGAAACTTGTAAGTGGTTAGTGCATTCACGCAATTTTGGACTACTAAAAAAAAAAGTAAAATTCATGGAATGGCTTCGAGAACGCGTATACATCATTTCATGTTCGTGCGTGATTCTATGACGTTCCCGTCGCGAGAAACCATGTTTATGCATACGACGCCGCCGATCCATTCCTTGCAATTCTCATTGATGCTTGCCTTTTTTTCTATAAGGTCAAGGCCAATATTGTCTCCAATGGATACAAAAGATTCTAAAATTGAGAATATAAATATATTTCATGTTAAGACTACTTGGTTAAATCTTTCGTTGCCGTTATTAATGGCCAGGATCTGTAATACCAGAATTGCATTTATTCATAATGGTTTTTTTATCTTTATATCTGATTCTATACAATCAGTCACGCAAGACAAATAAAGATGATTATCCCAAAGTCTAAACAATATGGTATGAGGAATATCACACAATAAGAGCCTGTGTAAGTGAATAAATTAATAATGAAAACTTAGCGGCCCAATCCAGTCTTAAAAGTCCCGTTTAAGAACAGACCGTTGCCCTGATTAAATCATAGAAATTTACCTTTTTATTGGTTTATAGATTATCAATAGCGATAAGATTTTTCTAAAATACAATCCAAATTGTGTGCTCCCCGAGAATTCCCCGGGTACACGACATCGAAAATTGTCATGCAACCAGGAAAAAGAATTTTACTAATGTCAAAATACTCTTGCTTATAATGGTCAACAATATTTTTTCGATTTACGTATAATCTAAAGATGAAAAATCATTCGATTTTCTGTCATGGGAAAGCGAACGTTCAAGAAACAAACAATGAAAATATTAAAAACAAAACAAACAAACAAACAACGTGACCTTGGAAAAATTGTAACACGTGGTACGTTTCATATTTTCTTTGTATACTCAATTTTTAAATTGCATTTCAGATTGCAGACATCACCCTCTGTTGATACATCTCATTAGTACGTTACAAGCCAGTGTGACGCGCAGTAAATTTTTGGAGAATTGTAGTACACACATGTATGCTATTGTCTATATATTTCGCGTAAAAGATATAAAATAGAATCGAAGCTTAAAATTGGCCTTATTGAGTAGAACGTGTAACTTTTTATCTATATAGTTATTGATTTCAAAAATGGGGGGCAATTTATCACGGCATAAAGACAGAAGAAAAAAGAATGCCAAGCATACACTAGAAAATGAGAGCATACAAGAACAACAATTTAAATATATTGGAGGTCGAAAGTTTTATGACATTTATGCGGTAAGTTTTATAAATGTGTATTTTTGTTAGAACCTTTAAGCATAACTATTTATTATATTAGTTTCCCACGGATATTGAAGAGGTTGATCGTTTACATCAACAACATTTCGCGCTTAAACGCATTTGTGGAGGAAACTATACGGCGCCAATTCGTGACATAATAAAACCTGGAAGCAGGATACTGGTAATTCAAAAAAGGATAAAATCTGCAATTTCAAAAATAATAACCCAGTTATGGATACAATTTTTATTTAAGGACTTGGGTTGTGGTCCAGGCCAATGGACACTAGAAATTGCACAAGAATTTCCACATGCACAAGTATTCGGCATCGACATAAGCGCGAATTTTCCAACCTCAATTAAACCGGAGAATTCGCATTTCACAGTTGGTGATATCACAAAAGGCTTACCTTGGGAAGATAACTATTTTGATTTTGTTTGGATGCGATACCTGTTCAGTGCAATTAAGGATGCAGACTGGCTGAATTTATACCGTGAGGTTAAACGTGTATTAAAACCGGGTGGAATATTTGAGCATCATGAGTGTGATGGGTTTAGTAAGTAAAGTTTAACAAATCAGATGTACCGTATTTCCGCGAAATTACGCCCATGCGCGTCATTTCGAATCACGGGCCCGCATTAAGCTTAAGGCCAAAATTTGAAATTACACCCTTGCGCGTTATTTCGTGAAAATACGGCATGGTCCATTACAATATTAACTCACAATTTTTAATGAAAAAATTAGCTACAACAGCTGGACCGAAATTAAAAAAATTTCAAATACCTTGTAAGTATCATATTTAAATTTAAAATAATTAACACTTTATTAATTATTAATTATCTCTAAAGATGAAGCAGCATTTATCTCGCGTGGACTAAACGTACGATTTGCATGTCAACTAAGTGAGCGAGTTACGATGGCTGGATTCAAAGACGTGCAGCCATCATACATATCTATAGCAATTGGAAAGTATGTAACATGTGGATATGATTTTTGTGAAATAGTAATTTCTCGAGTTTCTTATTAAAAAATTAATTGTTTATTTTAAATAGACATGGAGGTCGAATTGGTGAAATCTGGGCAGCGAATGCAAAAGAAAGTTGTCTCGCTATGAAACCTTGGGTCACGAATTTCACTGATTTTACAGAAGACGAATACGAATCAATAATTCGATATGCTTTCGATTATGAAGTTGACCTGTATAAAGCTCATCATAATCATCATATAATATGGGTTCGGAAAATTGAATCATACGTGTAAATTTTTTTATGGTAATACCAATAACTTATGGTAATTCAACACATGTATTTCACCTGCGCCAAACTGGAAAACCTGCATCACCAAACTTGACATTCACCCCATAATGGTAATTATGTAATATGCTATGTACAGTCGCCAAACATGGGCGTGGGTTAAATATTGACAACGAAAACTACAAAATTAGCGTTGTTATTAAATATGGAACTCAGATTTCTAATTTTGGATAAGATCTTGATATGTCGTTACTTACTATAATAAATGTTGTGTATTAAATAACAAGTTGTTAAAGTTGTTTTTTTCATGAATCCAAGCGTATTGTGTTTTATTTGTTTTATAAACTTTAAAATTTGTTTGGATACAAAAAAAATTTTTCTCGCTGACAATGAGACTTAACAAAATATTTATATAAACTATTATGCATACCATTAAAATGATCAGATATATTTTTATTCTCCAATTAAATTTCAAACATTGCGTGATTTTGTTTCGTTCTTTTCATCTCTCTCAAGTCCTCAACTCAAATATTATAGACCCGGGTCTGTTACATTCTACAAATATTGCAATCTGTGATACATACCCGGGCGGGCATGATAATATGGGACTTCTAAACAAAAGGGGGGGGGGGGCCCTTTTATGCAGCGAATTAACGATAGTTTACAAAGTGTCAGGGTAACAGTAAAATTTTGTGTTTAATTATGCTTTTCCTAAGAGAATGATTGATTTTTTGTTTTGTATACGTTTTCCCTTTTTTTGTAAAACACATAGCTATTAGAAACTCAAGTGCTATTATTCACCGATTCAATTACTGAAAGATGATTGTTATAAATCAATTTACATTACTTTTTATTGTGAACAACAAAGGAGTTATGATATATCACAAAGGTTGCTCACTCTGCAAATTATTAGGAACTTGCTAACACCAAAAATACTTCAGTGATTGTCCAATTGTTATAAAGAAACTTTCTTAAGAATTCCTGTATGAAATCATGTAATTACTTATGATATAATGTTTTTCTTGTATTTTATGTCAGTCAGCTACGTATTTAAAAATTTCTTGCAATCAAAACTGAATATTTTCAACTGCTGCTTTCTGATAGCCGAACTAAGTTCGCTGATATTTTCGATAAAATTTTTTCCTTTAAAAATGAAAATTTTCATGTCGTGATCAATGATAACTATTATTTTATAATGGTCTTATTTATTTAATATTGGATTGTTATTAAATTTGGATATTAATCGAATAAGTTGAAAAATTATAGACTCAGTAGATTCAACATTATTTAGTTGCTTGTGTATTTCTAGATTTCGGTCTAGTCCGTAAGAGCAATTTCTTCAATTAATTGTTCTTTATTGATAAGAGAGATTTTATTTTTGATTTATTAGAAAATAAACATATATATATATATATATAGTCCTTGACAAAATGTGACTTTAGCGGATAAGTGTGCATTTATAGAGTAAATTTATAAGAGTTTATAAGCTTGAGATTGTATTGTAGTTTGGAACGGTTGATATAAGATTATGCATGGGTTCATATTAAATTATTTTTATACTATTCTACTGCTCGTCAAATGTTTAATATAAGTTGCATCTTTAGTTAAGACCTCGCCTGTTTATATGCTGATTCCGCTGTTTTATTTCATGCAATTATTACAATACTATTAAAACCAACTATATGCGGTTTAATTTGTTGAAATTATCTATCGACGACAGGTAAAAATCCGTAAGAATTCTCTCAAAAGAACTTTCAGGGTTATAGCAGAATACTTTAATGCATCGCTGCTATTAGTCATACATGGATATTTATGGTTTCAAAATACAGTGTGTGACAAAAAAACTTAACTACATTATATTCATCATAAATCCACGAAGATTGCATCAAATTTGGTGATCAATATCATTTAAAAGCGAAAAAGTTACAGAATAAAAATTTAAAAATTGATTCGTTCACCTTTACTTTCAATAACTAACTCACAACGACGTCTCATCGAATTTATTAAATTATTTAGAATGGTTTTTGGAATAGAATCCCA